CCGGCGGCTTCACTCATGGGGTTCACAGCGTGATCTGTCGGAGGATTTTGGGACGGCTGAGGCTTTTTCCCGACCTTCATCCGCTGGCTCCGACGCTTTCTTTCCTTGTTCGGGAGCCCGTTCTCGGCTTCTCTCGCTCGCGGTTTGGATCCGGAGACGCTGCAGCAATCCGACTCCGAGGAGGCGGACGTGCTCAGCGTAGTGGACGATGACTTCCGGGTGTCGGGGAGTCTTTCTCCCCTCCCGTGGACTGCTGCACATGAGACCCCTGCAGTGGTGGCTAAGGACCAAGGGTTTTTCCCCGAGGGGAAATCCTTTCCGTCTGATTTGGGTTACGCGCAAGTGTCTTCGTTCCCTATCAGTTTGGTAGGAAACTTGGTTCCTGTCCCAGGGGCCCGTGCTGGGAGGGTCTTGTCGCCGGCTGGTCATTTCGACAGACGCCTCCCTCACGGGCTGGGGCGCGGTCATGGGCGGCCGCTTTGCAAGGGGATCCTGGCAGGTGCATCAGTCCGAGTGGCATATCAACTGTCTCGAGATGTTGGCTCTAAGGAGTTTCCTGCCCGATCTCCAAGGCCACCACGTCCTGGTTCGTTCCGACAACACAGCGGTGGTGGCCGAATCACCAGGGCGGTCTGCGCTCGCGCCCTCTGTACAGACTGGCGCGTCAGATCCTCCTGTGGTCCCAGCAGAGGTTACTATCGCTCAGGGCGATGTATCTCCCGGGGACGCAGAATCAGGGAGCAGACCTGCTGTCGAAGAAGGGGCTGAGGCCCGGGGAATGGAGAGTTGTGGAGCTCTTGTGCGGAGAGTTCGGCCCCATAGACGTGGATCTGTTTGCGCCTCAAGAGACTACGCACTGCCCGCTATGGTTTTCTCTCGTTCCTCCAGCCCCGTTGGGTCTGGACGCCATGGTACATTCGTGGCCAAGCGTACATTCTGTACGCTTTTCCCCCAGTCGGTCTGCTCCCGGGGGTTCTGGAGCGGGTCCGCCAGGACAAAGTCGGCCTACTGCTCGTAGCCCCGTTCTGGCCAACCCGGGTGTGGTTCTCGGACATCATGTCGCTCCTGGACGGCCCGCCGTGGCAGGTCCCTCTGAGGAGAGACCTGCTGTTCCAGGCGCAGGGCCAGGTTCTTCACCCTTGCCCTGCTGTATGGCGACTGTGGGTCTGGCCCCTGAGGGGGCACAGTACCTAGAGGCGGGTCTAACAGCCAGAGCAGTCGAGACCCTCCTCAGCTCCAGGGACCTCCTGCGACTCGGTCCAAGGTTCCCACTTGGGATCTGGCGGTGGTTCTTGGGGCGTTGGCTGAGGCACCCTTCGAACCCCTGCAGTCAGCTGAGGCTAAGCGCTTGACAGTTAAGATGGCCTTTCTCCTTGCTATCACCTCTCTGTGGAGGGTGGGGGATCTCCAAGCGCTTTCAGTTTCCTCGCAAAGCCTGGAGTTTGCCCCGGGGAATATTAGGGCTATCCTGCACCCTCGTCCAGGATACATCCCTAAAGTGCCTTCTTGTGCGGCAGGGTCCACAGTGCTGCAGGCATTTCTTCCTCCACCTCATGTGACGGCGGAGGACGGGAGACTTCATCTGCTCTGCCCTGTCAGAGCACTGAGTATTTACACTCTGAGGTCCTCCCGTTGGAGGAAGGCTGACCAGCTACTAGTGTGTTTTGGGTCCCCCAAGGCTGGGATCCCTGCATCCAAACATACTATTAGCAACTGGATTGTTCAGACTATTTCCCTGGGCTATCAGGTGCGCGGTTTGCCTTCACCTGTGACTGTGAAGGCTCATTCTACCAGAGGCATGGCGGCCTCTCGAGCCCTCCTTTCCGGGGCCTCTTTGCAGGATGTTTGTTTAGCAGCTGGCTGGGCCACTCCGCACACATTCATTCGGTTTTACAGTCTTGACCTTCCTTCGGCACCTGGCACTCGTGTGCTCTCCTCTTAGTCGTGCCACTTTATTGCACACTGGGGCAGGCAGGGTTTTCGGCACAGTTTAGTGGGTATCTCGTTCCCATAGTGTCGTAACGGACGCAGTTCGAGTTCCCTCGAAGGGGAACGTCTTGGGTTACGTATGTAACCCTAGTTCCCCGAGAAGGGGAACGAGACACTGCGTCGGCCCGCCGCACCTCTCTCCCCGCCTGAAGCGCCTGCTTCATAGTTTAAGCTAATGATGAGTGTGTACAGGTGTGCTTTATACTCCTCCGGTTATTCCGTCACACCTTACCGTTCTAGCAACAAGCCAATAGGATTGGAGTGATTTCATTCACGTTCAGACCTGCTATGCCTAGAGGCGTTCCCATAGTGTCGTAACCGACGCAGTGCCTTGTTCCCCTTCTCGGGGAACCAGGGTTACATACGTAACCCGAGACGTTAGTTAACTCTTTCGTCTGCCTTTACCATGGGTTATGGAGATATCCTCGGTAACGATAAACCAAAGTACATCCCTTGCCGTTTCTCTACATCGTGGGACCAAACACTTCCGTTTTTCCCCGTGTCCCGTCGGAAACTCTACCCTCTTGTGCAAGCCGTCCCATGTAGAACTCTTAAAGCGACAGTGCCATTAAATACAGAGGACAGTTATCGCTGCAGTAATCTCACCAGCAACTACATAACATTATAAGCCACATAACACAATTTAACTCTGTACCCCTGGTACTCTGTACCCCTGGTACACATACTTCGAATCATTTATCACCATTGATGAACCCCACAAAGGATATTATAGTGTTTAAAATCATTATTTAGAGGTGCAAGTGTCGGAGGTATGCAAAACTTGGCATCACACCGCACTCCGACAGCAGAAACAGCTGATCAGTCGTGAGTTTCGTCAGAACTTTTTTAAATTCCATCTCCCATTTATCGCATTTACTCTTTTTCGGCCACCTCAATTAAGGATTTTTTTTTGAGTTTTTCCATCATCCTTTTATAGTCAAAGTTAAGTCAAGTTAAAGTTTATTAAAGTGTAAAATCACCAGCTGTGTGTTCCCAGTACACTTTACAGAAAATAGAGACACATAGAATTTGCAGAAAAAAGGCTAACAACACATAAGAAACACACATTAAAAAACAACAATAAAATAGACAATTATAAAACTAATAATAAATACAACAAAATAGAATAGACAATTAAAATGTATAAAAATTCATAAAATACCCTAGCCCAAACTATAAGCCTTCTCACAAAATACAGAAAAACCATCCCTAGCTAAAAGCTTTACTAAAAAGACTCTTAAATATGGAAATGTTAGTTGCTTCACATAGACAGGGGTCTGATTCCACAGCTGAGGTGCCTGATGGCTAAAGGCTCTGGCTCCTATTCTACATCTGGAGACCCTAGGCACTACAAGTAGCCCTGCATTTTGGGAACGCAGTGTTCTAGTGGGGCAGTATGGTGTAAGGAGGTCTTTCAAATAGGATGGTGCCTGACCATTAAGGGCTTTGTATGTAAGAAGAAGTATTTTAAAATCAATTAAAATTAATAATAATGTGATAATTCAAAATGTGCATTAAAACGTTGAAGTAAGAGCATCAACAATGGAGAGAAACCTGATGCGTTTAAAAAAGGTTGACAGGTGAGACCTACAGACAGACTTACTGGCCACCAGTTGCTCATGCACAGCTGGTCAAAAACTAAGAAAAAGGTCTGCTGCACCAAACTGTGCTCTACGGATCAAAGATATTGATACACTTGATAATTTCCAAAAATCTTCAGAACATAAAGAGGATCCTGTCCGCTGAGTTGCTTCAGGAGTAAGTGGTGTGTTGCCTGGCTGAACATGAAGCCTGATGGGACATTAACACATGATCGTACTTAAGTCTTCACAGTTTGAAATCTCACCATATTTTAACCCTCTTTTCTCAACACACTGTATCCTACAATTACTTGACTATGGTTAAATGAGGTTTCTATGAGTGTCATGTTTAAAATAACATTATATTTTACATTTTTATTGAAGCATTCATCATTCCCAAGGTACAAGACAAAGCTGAAAAAATACCATAGCTGTCATAGCTCTACATTGAAAAAATGTTTACTATACTGCATAATAAAAGACAACTGAACAAATACTTCATAGAGTCATGTTTCATTTGCAGAAATAAAAAAAAATCAGCTTTCAAATAAATGATTTTACATTGCCATTTGTATAATTTTAGTACATTTGATCAATCTTTGTGTCCAAGCCCACAGTGTAAGTTAGTGGTTCAAAGGCATGTAGGCTTAAAAGCAAAATAAATAAAACTTTAGAAGGTTTAATTTATGATGCTGATAATAATTTATGTTCAAGCCAACTATGCAAATATGCATCAAGCTAGATTCCTGCTATCAGCTTAAACCCTTCTTTAACTGCTAGTTGTGATTGTGCTCACCTTTCTTTTGTAAAAAATTAGTTAGCAGTTATTTTCCTTAACTTTGCTTTCTTTTCTTTCTTTCTCTTCTTTTTTGGTACTTTGATTTACCTTTCTTGGGGACAGACATGACTGTCATAAAGCATATTGATGCTCCAGCTGTCACTCTGCTCAATTAGACCGTTTAGAGATGAATCGTAGTGTGGGGGACAAAACCATTTTGTTTCTTTTGTGAAACAAAAAAAACAGGTGTCCTGTGTCAACCAGGTAATAATATATATTCTTTTTCAACCATTGCAAACTATAAAATGATACATTTTTGCAGCCAAGTGTAAATAGGAGGTCACACATTTGTTTCTGTCATTTCCAAAAGACAAACATTATTATTTACTGTTGATGTGAAACCCAAGTTCTAGTTCTGCTATACTTTACTATTTAACATACATTTCTGATTACTGTTCAAATTATCACCACTTCAACTCTCACACTCAGATGCAGATAAAGTTGAATTTCTCCTGGCAGTCCCAGATCTCCCACAGTCCCTCTATATAGTTAAAGCTTGACAGTGATTCCATGTTGGACGCCGGTGGTCATGTCTCCTCCTTTGCGCCAGGTCTCATACACCAGAGGGTCACCGTCTGCAGGTAAATTATTATAGTTGGGGATATTCGGTCTGTGCATGTGTTTGCTCAGACTGACTGATCTTTAATAAATGCCAAGAAGAGTTTCATTTTGCTTTATTTATAGACAGAAACTATAAGAATAATCATCCACTCCAGCCACCATATATTGGAAGTACAGCATCAAACATGTTATTAACAAACCACAGCATACATGTTGCCACTAAACATTGTCAGAGAGCCACTAGATATGATTGTTACACAGCAAAAAACAGCCACTATAACCACAATATATTAAACCTTCTGTATGGAATAAAGCAACAACAACAGATGTCCACAAAGTCTTCCATCCTGTAGAAAGTTTGAAATTGAAGACAACATTTTTTAGGGTTACAGTAACATTTTTAAGGATTACAGTAATATTTTTTTATCAGCTTGACATTAAACTAGTCCATGCTCATTACATGATAAAGTTACATTGACTGCATTTAGCCGACGGGATATTGGCGTTCTAAACTGACTTGAAATACTGTATAATTGATAAAATCAAAATACTAACTTGAACTTGTCACAAATGGCAGTGATAGCAGAAAATATTTGTGCAAAACAGAAATTAAAAATAAATTTTAAAGCAATTTTAAAGATGTGAATTAGCATTTTAAAAGTAAATCTAAGTTTTTACCTTTCAAACAAGGTTCAGATGTTGAAAACTTAAATGAAATGTTGTGGTGCTACAGAATCTCCCCACTACCTTGTGTTCTTTTGTTCCCCCCTTCCCTGTGTTTTCTGTCTGTCCTCCCTGTCTGTGTCTGTCTGGGCATGGCTACACTCTCTGGCTCCAGCGGCGCACCTGGTTCTCATTCCACTAATCAAGCTCCTGCAGTATTTCAACCCCAGTCCTCCTCACATTCTTCGCCAGATTGTCAGTTAACCACATGTAGAGCACACTACCTCCGGGAACCCTGCTGAATGCCAGACCCTGCTCTGCACCTATCTTACCTGGACTTACTCCTCTCCTCCGTGTTCTCCATTCTGCCCTGTTGGACCTATCAATAAAACCCTTTTGTCACCCCTTCGAACTGTACCGAGTCTGCCTTTGAGTCCTCAAGTTTTTGCATTATGACATGAAATGAATAAGAATTAATAGCAGATGAAGTAGAGTTCCTCCTGGCAGTCCCGGTTCTCCCACACTCCCCCTCTGGTTAAAGCTCCACAGCGTGTCCATATTGGACACTGGTGGTCCTGATCTCCTTGGGTCCAGGCCTGGTGCAACATAGGGTCACCATTCACCCACAGCCAGCGGTCCTCCAGGTAACGCAGGCCGATCCACACTCGCTCAGTGACGCTGTCTTTCTGGATTTCTTTCTGGGCCAGAAGGTGCTCGGTCTCAGAGACAAGGCTGGAGAGGTCAGTGTGATTCTTTCTGCAGTACTCCAGAGCCCCCTCCCATGTCATCTTCATCTTCACCACGGTAATGTTGATGCAGTAAAAAGGTATTGGTTTTGTTTCTGGATAATCGTTCCATTTTCCATTAAATAAGACTTGTGTACTGTTTTCAATGTTTAGATAGTTATCTGGTTGTCCTTCAGCCCAGTTTTGGTATGTAGCGTTTCCTCCTCCTGACCACTTCCAGGCAGTTTTGTTGCTGGGATCTCGGTAGAGACCGATCCATCCTTTAATCCATACATCGGTCTTTCCAACCATCTGTCCAACTGCAACGTTCACACCTACATCCGATTTGAACTTGTTTTGATCACTCTCACTATCAATAAAGGAAAGATCAGTGTAGTGTTGTGAACAGTAATTCTGAGCAGAAGCCCATGTCATACTTTCTGAAACATAAACGTGTTTTCCTATATGTCCCTGAACAGCCGTACAAAGAAAAAATAAGATGATTTTCTTCATGGTCGTTGCTCTGTATCTTAAGCTGAGAATATTTTCTTTGAATGTTTCTTCTCTGTGATGGTTCCACTGAAGTCTTAATGTTAATGAAATGTATTTGCATGTCATTTGGTTTATTTGCACAAGCAAAGCACCTTCTTGGTAGACTTAACTCCCAAAGACAAAAACAAATGACTTATACAAAGATAAGCAATATTATACAGAATAGCTAGGTAGTTCACAACCAGGTGTTGCATGTGTGCTCCACATTTGTTGACACTTGGAGGAGTAGTATCATGGAGATGTCATCTGTATAAAGTAGTAAAGTAGGACAACTTTGAGCATCTTGTTTCCTGTTCATTAATATCTTCACTGAATGCTTGCACAATGAATACTTTTTAAGAAAATTTGTTTTTGCACAAAAAATTTTAAAAACATAAATTACAATTGATAAATACCACCTTCCTTTCCAGCTACCACTTCACTTTGCCTTTGAAGCACATCATGGTTTTGATTTTACTGAAATTGCTACTTCGGGTTAATTTAACACAAAGAGTTATCACTGTACAAGACTCACAATTAAGTTTTAAGTTAATAATTATTCATCATGTTGTCGTCAAGGCTGCTAATTGTTGATATGCTGCTGTTGGTTTTATGAGCTGAGGTGTTGAGAGCTTCACTGCTGATATTTCTGCAGCCATCCCAATACAGTGGAGGTCAATGGGAATTTGATGTGGTGTGATGTAAAAGCATTAAAAAAACTCATCCATAGTCATTCATATATAATTTATATTTTCTACCAAATAAATATATTTAACCTAATTCAATTCAACTTGAAGCTGACCTTATAAAGTTGTTAGAAAATAGTTGCCTAATTACGCATCCAGCGGACACAGAGTAACATTAGCATTCATTTGGAGTTGGGTTTCTGGTCACCCAGTGAATGTTTAATGTTTAATGTCTAATGTGCACTCTATTTTAGTTTAATTTAGGTCCCCAACATTTTCTGAATAAAATATTTAGCCTGCAGCTGTTTCTTTTTTGCTGAGAACAGATTCCTGCTGCTGCTGGAAACAACACTGAGTGTTTAGAGCAACAACATAACGCTTACATTTAGACAAGGGTGCACACAGTGAATCCCAAAGTCACCACTGGGCAGGTGTTGAAAACTTAAATGAAATGAATAAGAATTAATAGCAGATGAAGTTGAGTTCCTCCTGGCAGTCCCGGTGCTCCCACACTCCTTCTTTGGTTAAAGCTCCGCAGCATATTCATACTGGACACTGGTGGTTCTGATCTCCCTGGGTCCAGGCCTGGTGCAACATAGGGTCACTGTTCACCCACAGCCAGCTTCCCTCCAGGTAACGCAGGCCGATCCACATCTGTTCAGTGATGGGCAGTTGATGTGATGAGCCACTGTGCCATTCAGACCATCCACAGCCTTCCCAACAAATGATAACATACATATCAGTCCAGCTATTTGGTTCACCGGTATCCCACAGTATGTCCTCCTCCTGACCACTTCCACTGTATTAGAATGTAGGGCCAGACCCCGTAGAGTTTGAGGTCGTTGTAGAGTCCGATCCAGAACTTATGAACTTTCCCAGTTGTTGCATTTTTCAGTCTCTCTTCTTCCCACCATGTAGTGATGGGGGACAGATCAGTATAAGTAGCTCTGCAGTACTGTTGAGCAATCAGCCATTCGCAGTTTATGTCCACATATACGTGCTTTCCAAACTGTGCCGACATACTTAAAGTAAAGAGCATTTTCAAAACCATAATCCTCATGGTGGTGAAGTTTGCACATAGTTGTAAGGCGTGTTCTGTTCGAGGTGAAACCTTTGTTTCAATTTGGTCGCTTTTCTGTTGTCTCCTCACATAAGTCAGTGAATAGGCAACCTCGAGCTGTGTCTAGTGTCAATAAAAATTATGCAAAATTAAGTTGACATATCATCTGCCCAGGTCAGTAGGACGTTGAGACACAGACCATGTCACTGCAAGATCTTTGGTTTGACTCTAGCAGGGGACCTTTGATGTATGTCAAGGACCCTCGCTCTATGTGATTCCTGTCTGTGTCAACTGTTACTTCTCCTAGTGCCCTGTTGGCAGAACAAACTGTCTACAGTGTGCAGTTGTTTCATCGGTCCAATTTATGTGACAATCATGTAAATTTTAACATGCTATTTGCATTTACTTTATAGAATCCAGTCAGTCAGTCGGTCATTGACTTAGCTTCACAGTATAGGGCTGGCCTCATTGTTGCAGTCCAGCCAAAAATAATGGGAAAATCTGATGCAGTAAATACTGTAAAATCTATTTGAGTTTGGGTGAAATTCTTTAGTGATATGGTTGCCTTTTTGGCACATACCCCTAACTGTCAACAAAAGGCACAGGCATTATTGTGAAAATAAAGGTTGAACTGGGTCATATTGATGCTGTATTTTGTTGTCCTTTGTGTAATGATTGAAAGATTATATTAATTTGACCACAAGCTGTGATGTTTGATGGAAATGTTTGCTTTTGTTTCATGTTTTTAATGTTTTTTTATGTGTTGGCCAGTAACTTTCAGTGTAGGCCTGTGCGTGAACAGTTTTGAAAATGTAACTTCTGAATGGACAAATGTGTGTGAAAAAAACAGTGACAGGGTCAAACTTTCAAGCACTTTGCATTAAAATCACCAAGAGCTTGCAGGAGCCCCTCAATTCAATAATCAGTAGAGGCCATACAGCGGGTTAACAAAGTTGTGCGTGACTGCCAGAAATCATGCTCTGACACTGATTTAACTAAATTTGCAAGAGATCAGCAGAAGTCAGTGAAGCCTGCATGTTCATTTACATTTGGGCATCAATACGTGACGGCACGTTCTGCTTGAACTCAACACATCCTGCCCGACTCCGATCAACTTCCATAACCTAAGTCAAATGCTTTTCTGTAATGTTTAGGCAAAACGGTGAACCTGTGACCCATCAGATTCTGTGAGTTAAGAGCATTAATGGAGAAAAAAAAGAAAGAAAAAAAAACTGGTTGAAAAGGTATGTACACAGGTGAGATGTTAGGGCCCTACAGACAAACTTTTGCACACCAGTTTCTGCTACTCACCAGTCATGTTTTGACAAAATTTAAGCCTACTGATTTCAGTGCCTGCCTTATGTCATTTTTTAAGCATACAGTTTAGTGTTTTTCCCCCCTAGTAGTAAACACAAGAGTAGTGAGATTATGTTTGCTATACTTCCCATTTGCCTCTGTGAAAGCCTGATACTGATGTTTTCACAGACACATTTAGACCACATTTGTTCATAGCTGAAAATTGTTTGCATGTTTTTATAAACGTGACCTCAGATTATAGTGCAACATCCAAATAATATTACCCAATGATAATTTATTTCAAACCTATCGAGTTACCTGTTGGTGAGCAGCTTCTGAGAGGAAAGTCACTGATTTGCACAAGGAAATACATTTTCCTACAGAAGACACCCCTGTGACATATTGGTGGATGTGTCAGTGGGAACTGAACCTGGGTCTCATGCCAAAGGCATACATCTTATCCACTGTTCCATCACCACCAGCCAACCATCCATTTGAATAAATCAAGAGAAGCTCACTCATAAGCTACATAAGTGCATTTCAAACATTTTTGCCAATTTAAATGTTTTGATATTACCAAATGTAGAGTGTCAATGCAAGCCATTATTAGAATATCATGCAGCATAAGGCAGTAACTACGGGCCCTGTTGCCGGCAACACCACAGTTGCCCCTGTTTCCCCCCCCTCCTCCTCTCTTGCAGCCAATTTTGTTTGAATGGCATGATTGCTGGTTTGCAGGTGTGCTCTGCTAGTCTGCTTGTTCATCTAGCTAGAGTCTGGTCATCTTGTCACATGATCAAATAGACACTTGTTTTGAGACTGGGCCACAACATAAACTACACATTACCCAGTTATCAACAATGCTTACACTGATACGCAATACATGTGACACAAATACCAAAAAAAAATAATAATGCGTGTCAGGGTGTAGAGTAGGAGGTTCCAAAGGTACATTTACTATTGTCATTGGGCGCATCGGTTAGAATATATTGAAGTAAGCGAGGAAACTTGGAACATCCTTTGAACAACATTTTATTTCTGCATTTGTCAACATAATCAGGAAAAATAAGAGACACATAAGTTGTTCAATCTGAAAGAAAGCAAACATAAGATTAGAAACTAAAGTAACATGTCCATTTCAAGGAAATAAGAAAAGACAAACACCTAAGCTAAGTTTTTCATAAACATAGGATAAAACTAGAGTAAATTAAACTTCTCTTACCTGAACTGCCACCCCATGTGGAAGTGAAAGAGTGAGTGAAAGGGAGTGCAGTCCTTAAATAGTGTGAACAGGTGAACTCAATCAAGTCAATTAGGAGGAATGAAAGATGTCTATGAAGATTCTCAGTCATCCAGGTCATAGTTATCCAACGAAGGTTAAAATCAAGGGCAACTGAACTTGGTTGAAGATACTGGAAGACGTTTCGTCCCTCATCCAAAGGACTTCTTCAGTTCTGACTGACTGGCAGGGAAACTCAGCTATTTAACCTGAGTGGGGTCGTTGGCCCGGGTCATCGATACCGCTGGTTCGTTAGTGTTCCTGGTGTACCAGGAACCTTTGGATGAGGGACGACAATTTATTACATTGGTTAAGACATTTTATTACATTATTGGGAAGTTATTACATTATCAGGAAATTATTACATCATGGGTATTACAATCCCTCTTGTCTACTTTAGTTTGAAACAATTCTATTCATGGTTCATCACAAATTGTAGGTTGAGTGTACGAACAAGAACAACGTGACGAAGAAGTTCATAACCTTATAACATGATTTGTATGCACTACTTACTACAAGTATACCGTTCTTTTAAAACATTCCACCCCAGATGGGACTCGAACCCACAATCCCTGGCTTAGGAGGCCAGTGCCTTATCCATTAGGCCACTGGGGCCCTTACATTCACGATCTCATAAAATAGATAGGTAATTAAATAACGTGTACAACAAAAAATCCTACATTATGTAATAATGCACATAACTGATTGACGGATGTATTTTGTGTATCATGAATGAGAATTGTCCATAGACTGTATATAAAAAGGAACTGTCAAAATATTCAGTGTCGTGCCGCAGCCACGTCTCTCTGTTCCGTTGCTAAGCAACAAAGAACACGCTACTGAGTCAAGTTTAGGACAGAGGAGACGAGCTGTTTCCTGTTTGACTACAAAATAAATGTCACTCGTGAGCGCTATTCTATATTGATTGCGATATCCGAGCTTTTCCTTCAAATGCCATCTCCATCTTGGGTTTCGGCCAGCTCAGAGTTTCAGACGCTTCACCCTAAATATGTGTTTAACTGCCTCCCTACATTTTACGTCCTTTCCCTGTGCTATTAATTTGAAAATATGAGAACGGAAGAAGTTCTATGTGCTGCGTGTAAACTATCAACTAAGCTAACGTTATCCACAATACTGCACATAGCAAAACTCTCCTGATGATAGTGGGAAAAAAACTTATGAAACTATCATTTTATCACGGCCATGCAAGTCGTAAGAGAATTCAGTTTAATGACAAAATGAAACGAGGTAGCTAAGACTAACATTAGGTAGCAAACGTAACGGCTAGCGGTCAACGTTAAGCTAACAATTTGTGTTTTCATATTAGGGGACACCCGACGTTCCCTAGGTTAGTAATAAAAAGTCTTAGCTAGGTAACTTACCTCTTCAAGAAAGACTCGTCGACATGGTAAGTTCACGTTTTTGCGTAACTCATGCCAGGACTATTACAACGCTTTAGCAGTCTCATAAGAAACTGTCGAGCATGTTGGCCGCAATCTGCTGAAAGTTTTGTGATAACTTGAGAAAATGTTGTACCCCTTGGCAGATCCTCTCTCGCATGAAGCCAGCCGTGGGAGGAGAGACATCGGTGAGCATTAGTGAGAAAAATAAGAAAAACAAGACAAAGGTTCCGAGCTTGGATGAATACCTACAACAGAGAGACTACCTCGGCGCCTTGACACTGCTGGAGGTAACTTACTGTGCTTAACACGACACATAACCTAAAAGAAACACGCAATCCAAATCACGGGTTAGTAAAGATAATAATTGCGCTAAAAGGCACATGTTAAAGATCCCATGCAGGTATGGATTCATGGATCCCAAGTAATTGAATCCTTACCAGCTCTGTGTGCTGCACTGCAGCTGACGGACATCTGAACAATTTGTTAGAAAACATCAACATGATCCCAAAAGGGCCTAATAAAGTCTCACATCATAATTATTATAGTCACAAGTTCTATAAATAATATCACAGTTGGATTATAATAACAGAACTGCACTTGGTTTAATTCAAAAGTAGTAAATGCTAAATCTCCTTTTAAAAAGACAATGGAATCCAATGAATGAAGTCCAGTCCATCATCAATTCTTCATATATATCCAAATTCAAGATGGTAGGGGTAGGAGGCGGGAGCAGGAGCCAGGGAAGCTTGGAGGATGTGTGGTTAAGTAAGGTTTTTACATCATTGACCCTTTCTACTGACACAAATTAGACCACTAACCCCCATTTGATAAGATTTTGTCCCAGGGTCCCCCATCTGATAGGATTTTTCTTTTAGATGTTTTATTACAGAAAGTGGATGAAACCATGACCAAAATAGTGATACATTTTGTCAGTGTGTTACTTATGGATGCAATTATAGAATTAAAGAATTGTGGTTAATATATTACGTTTTAAATGTGCAGTGCTTTCTTTTAAATAACAATCCTGTCAACTTTTTGCTGGGGAACCCCTGAGGATCCCCAAACCCCACTTTGAGAACCACTGGTGTAGTAGATGTGATCAGAGTAGGCACATTACACTATAGAGAGATTAACTAGATTGTTAACTACTTTTTCATTGTTGTATTAGAGGTAGACTGTGTCTATGTTGGCTGAGAAGATACTGAGGTGCAGAATTGGCAAAGTAGGTTTGAGGTCATTTAAAAACACCATTACATAGTTTCTTTTTCCACTGTAAAATGCCTTAGTGTTTATCTTGGTCACAAAAACAAACACAACAAATAACAAACCTAAGGGGCATTATGTTTAAAAAAAAAATGTATATTGGCAAATATATTATTATTTTTAAAGCTAGATTGTGGGACTTTTACGTGTTTGCCAGAGCTAAAGGTGGAGCAACATAGCAACAGCAGCAACTCAGGATGCCTATACGTCATAGGCATATCGACAGTGTTGTGTAATTACTGTCACTGTCAGAAGGGGGAGACAAAAGTTTCACACTGCAGGTTTGAACTCCCACATATCAATATTGGTATAGTAGTATAGTATATAGTTTGAATAGCTTGGCTGGCTAAGATAAAACCACCGGGCTAACGTTCCTCTGTGGCTGAACAAATTATTTCACAGAGGTGCTACCTATTTTCTTTCTGTCATACCCTGAAATTAAAGTTTCACAAATAGAATCACTCCCATATCTATGCTACAGACAACACCGTGCTGCTTTGCTGCTGATGTCTTGCTGTGTCATCTGTAGTTTCAGAGAAGTATTGGCGAGAAAGAGGAGCATGCGGACCTCTGGATTGGCTACTGCGCCTTTCACTTGGGTGATTACAAGAGAGCTATGGAGGTATGTGTGTCTGAATGATATATAAGATATGTATAGCTAGGTAAACAGCCTTTCACATAAAGTACCCTAAATGCTATATTTAAATAACCAATAACGAATACCTGTTGTAGAAATGGATAAGGATGTTGGTAGGGTCTGATCACATTTGTAACGCTTCCTTATCATGTTCTGACAGGAGTACAAGTCTCTGACGATGAAGCCTGAATGTCCTGCTGAGGTGTGGGTCCATCTGGCCTGTGCCCTGTTTTTTCTGGGGCTCTACAAAGAGGCAGAGGAGGCTGCATCAAAGGGTAGGCTTTCCAACTGAATACATTTGTAAATTCCTCCTTTGTACTAGGAGGATGTGCTAACCACTTGACCTACATTTTGTACAATGTTGCTTGGGAAACATCCTTCTTGCTTAGCAGCACACTGTTAAGCATTTGATTTTTTTCTAGCTCATCAATACATGCAACAAAATATAGTATGCACCTATTCTGCCAACCAAATATACCATACATTAATATTATTATTATTGGTTTATTTTCAATTAAGTACTCATTCATGCAATTTCAGTTAAAAAAACACACAAATTTAGTAATTGTGTACCAGGTTTAATTCAAGAAGCCTACTAATTACTTGCAAGCTTTTATTGTGAAGCAGCTGGTATTATGAAGACTTTCTCGCAGCTTCAAGTACATGAAGAAAATGAGTAGATTTAGCAGACTTTTAAATGGGTTTGCTGTAGACTTTCAGTTTCAATTAATTCACTCCTCCGTTACTGTGTACATTCTTTGTGCCAGATCACATACAATGCTGTTCAGTCAGTTATGTGATTGCTAAGAGCAAGGTTATGATGTTAATGAATTGTGCCTCTTATTCTCATGTGGTTTGCTGTCTAACTAAATTTGGCATCTCTTGCTCTCTGCAGCTCCAATGTCCCCTCTCCAAAACCGACTCCTCTTCCACTTGGCTCACAAGGTTGGAAAACTATTATGTAATATTTTATAATTGTGTGTATTCTTTCCCTCTCTGCCTTCACAGGATCACTAACAATTCAGTGCTGAGCAACCCTCCACTGTAGATACAGGTTTATGTATGAGAAAAATACTGTAGTCATGTCATACAATACTGATGTTATAGTTTTATTCCATCTCGTTTCATCTGAGCTCAATAATGAGGACATCTTTGTGGTATTTCCACCGTTTGTGTAGATTTTCTGTACATTTCACCATCATCTCAACACAGACCTGATAAAATCCCTCGTGTTATCTTTTTTACCTGCGTTGTGTCTTGAGATGTGTAGTACAAGTATTATTATTATTATTGTGTTTCAGTTCAACGATGAGAAGAAGCTGATGGGTTTCCACCAGAACCTGGAGGATGTGACAGAGGATCAGCTGAGCCTGGCATCCATCCACTACATGCGCTCCCACTACCAGGAGGCTATAGACATCTATAAACGCCTTCTACTGCAGAACAGGTCTGTGCTCTGCCCCGCATTTTACTCTCTTAAATTAGTTTCACAGTGCTGCTGCACTTGGGTGCACGTGCCACCCCAGCACCACCTTGACAGGTGCGAGTTGTTAATGGAGGAATGTTAGATAGTGTCAGTGCAGCGGACCTGCTGAGCTAGCTTCCTCTAATTCTGCATGGTGCAAGGGTAAGAAAATGAAAGACTTTGATTTCAGTAGATATCCTGTACCACTTCTCTCAGAGATCGATGCATGGCTTTGTGGTGGGCCGAGGTGCATCTGAGGTATTTTATGAGGTTGACAGCAGCTTTAGTTGAAGGCCTTTCGAGCAGCTCAGAGCACATTTTTTAAATGCACCTTAGCCATACTACCATAACTACTACTTC